ACAGTCTATGTTAGGTTAGGTATGTAATGTGCACTTTCTAATAGTATTTTGTATTAAGGTTTTGCGAAGTGTTCCCATTAAAGGCAAGGCGAAAATTTGTATTGTAATAATTGTTCCAATAGGCATATGAGTGAGTAGCCGTGAAGCTGCGTCAGCCACGTTCAGCTCCGTTGAACCGCAGCGCGCCGTCCTGCGCATGCGCTGTAACGGATGTTCGATACTTGTTTTTTTATAATACCATGTGCCTACAACAAATGTATCATATGTGTGAAGCTTGCGCTATATTAGTTGTAATACTTATTAGGTTTCCAGGTGATCCGTCCAGTGTTTTTGTACCCGTATGCCGGTTGATCTTGCAATGCGAACTAGAATTCTATTGTGATTGTTTCACAAAAGTACCGTTTTGAAAATGTTTTGTAATGTTACAACTTAACAGTGAATATGGACAAAGCAACGTTGATCTCCATTGCCTGCTGGAAAAGCCTACAAAGTTGCATGGACACATTATCTTCTCACGCTTATATTTTTTAATTACATTCAATGTACAGTATTTATGACTGTCATTGAAGTTTTAATATTATTGAAAACTTTAGGTAAATTTAATACAACTTTCAAACTATAAAACGTAATAGGTAATATCCACGATATTTGATATGAATCTATCATAATAAAAGTTTCAGAGTTGTAAATATTTTAATTCGCTTTATCTCGTACTTTCTACAGTTAATTTATATGCAATATATAATGATTCTTGGAACGATTGCTCAAAGTATTGAATACATGCAATAATATTCTGAGATCTTTAGAAGTAGACGATAGAATATGCAACACGAAAAAGACATTTAATTTTGTAACAATTGATTACAAAGGCGAAGATTTTGAAAAAAAAAAAACTGTTAGCTAAACTTTAATCGTTATTCAAATCGAATCCTACTTTACCTCTATAGTATCGTCTAGTAATAGCATCTACTAGTTAGCATTTTAAATAGACTGTTACGTTTCCGGTAATATGTATTTATGCCGTTTAAACCCTGCTTTTTAATATTCCAACAATTTAATTGGTATATCGCGTAGAAACTTCTTTAGAATTAATGATTTATAAATTGTTTATGTAACTCTTAAAGCGACACACACCTAAAGTATCGCACAACTATTTAATCGCTCTTTGATTCCAAACTTATATGGAGGTGAAAATACTTCATTTTTAGTTGCAACTAAACAGTTGAATTGACTGCTAAACAATCGACAATCGCACAATTGTAGTGCGATAGGTTAGTCAAAGGTGTGCGTCCGTTCTTACAATTAGAAACTGAATGGCAATTAATGCTTTTAACGTTTAAATGACAGTAATAAAAATAAGACTATTTGGACTAGCTTTAGTTTGATGCTAGAGTAAAATTAATGACACTAAAAACCAGTGATAAATTATGCAAAGCCAATAAACATATGAAATCACATTCTGAAAGTTTAAATAATGTTTATTGGTTTGGTAGCAAAAAGTTTAATTTAATTTGAACGTTACTTATTAAATACTAAAAACTACGTTACGTAAAATATAATATTTAGTATAGTTTAATGAAAAATATTAGAAAAGGAAAAGTTTTAGACTTTCTTAAGATACTAGCTTAATAATAGTTAATAGCGTAATTTGGGGTCCATTGGATTGGTCATGTTACACAACCGCTACACTTGATTATAATAATGATTTTGACGATAGTTGTACTTGTGTAATAACGAAAGCGTAAAGCAATTTCTCAATCTTGCCTTTGTTTGGTATAAGTAGGTACAGAATGGCACAGTTCTCCAGTTCCGTTACTAATCTAAATGCTTAAGCTTAGAAATGAGTCGTTTAATTTTTATTTCCATCGAGAAAGTCATATTACCCTGAACGTACGTTGTTGCGTTTATTACTGTGTTTACAAACACTTTTTGCATGATGGATATTGGTTGCTAGGTTAGAACAAAGAACCAAAATAGGTATGTGCCCTAAATTTAATAAATAAGATAGATCTTAGAGTTAATGAAAATTTTACTTGCACTGTTATTAGACTCGATTAGATTCGATTAATTAAAAATTGTCGTTATATATTGTAAAGACCACCATATCACTCTTCAACTGTATTATGGATTTAAGATTATAAAAAAAAAAATCTTTGATTTTATCGTACCAGTTATGCGTTTCTAAATAATTTTGTAGTCAAGAATCTTTTATCGTACCGTAATAGGTATGACGTCTCTTACTAAGTGGTAAATAAGTTGAATAGTTGCAATGAGATGGCATTAAAATACACGCTTTCTATTGCTTAATCGCGTTGAGTCGGTCGATGCAAATAAGTTGTTTCGTTATTGAAATATGTATTGAATTATTTGGATTTTTAAATCTTCAATTTATATTTCCAGTTATTAAGTTATTGTTGCAATATTATTGAGAAAGTTTTATCTCGAATATCAACCATTTTAAATTGTGTTTCTCATGTAATGAAACAATTCCGTTGTTACAATCTTGATTTTTTCTTGACCTCGGCTTGGAGAGAAGCATAAAAATGCTCAGCGAATCTAGTGGAATATTTATAGTCTGTCTGTTGACATAATACATGATTAATAATAACATATAAACTATTATAGATGACCTTGAGAGGTACTTAAAAACCTGTTGATGGTTTCAATATTAGTATTATTCGGTCATGATATTGAGACGAGGCATCGAACTTTCTTGTCGGTCATAACAGGTGGGTGGTATGCAATCGCAAACTAGTTCTATTGATCAGTTTGAATATCATTTGTTTTATAAATTTAATATAGTTGTCTCAGGATTAGTAAACAACTAGCGTTCGCCCGCGACTCCATACGCGACAAAACTAAGTAGCCTATGTGTTCTTCCAGACTATCCTCTACGTGTATGCCAAATTCATCAAAATCCGTTCAGCCGTTTAGGCTACAAACTCTAATAAACATCCATCCATCCATCTAAACTTTCGCATTTATAGTATTAGTATGAATATGATTAGTATGATGGAGGTTAACTCAGCTACGGGATTGAATTGTCAAATACATTTTTTTAAATTATGATGCAACTTATTTCTTGCGATTAAGTTGCGACATTATCTTTTTGCTGGTGCACACTTATAACTCATATATCTCCGTAATTACTATCGATTACTGAACGACCATTATTGTAATATACCTCGATAACTGAGTTAATCATGCACTAGCACGGTATTTCATATTTGACTCCCCAGATATACAAAATACGAATTTAACATTAAATTTCCCATTTAAAGAGAACAGATGTAGGTTATTTCTTATTTAAATTTAAAAGGCTGTTCTACACACTTTCATTAAAATGTTTCTACTTTTACGCAATCGTGATAGATCATTTATGTTGTGTAACCAATATAGCTCTAACCATTTTACTTTTTTAACGGAATCGAAGGTGACAAAATTTGATTTTCACGATCACGCAACTCATAATGTACCGTTATCTAGCGTAGACGTAGAAAATTTAGCAGCCCCTCTCTATTGACAAGTTACATAATCAGAGTTGTTCGCTTTCGCGTTTGAATCGAATTGTTTAATACGGAATGGTTCCAATATTGATGATGTCATGTTATTTTAGACGATGACTTTAGCTGTCCTTTTATAACACCTTTTAAGCAAACACGTTTTTTGTAAACTCGTGACAAACGGTAATATATTAATATATAATCAAATTAAACGAATATGTAATTTTGTAACTGCGATCTATATATAAAACTGTCATACTAATATTATAAATTAGAATTAACTAGATGGATGGATGGATGTTTGTTAGCGTTAGTAGCCTAGCCGGCTGAACGGATATTGATGTAATTCGGTGTAGATGTAGAGGACAGTCTGGAAGTACAAATAGGTTACTCTCTTTTGTTTTTGTAAAATCACGCGGACGGAGTCGCGGGCGAAAGCTAGTTAAGTATAAAGTAAACAATGTAGATTCACACTTATTAATATTAATTAATCTTTAATAAAGAAACCGGCAATTTGTAAATTATCAAAACAATGTGTATTACTACAATGTACGAAATCGTACAAACATTGCTATCGTCATCATCGGTATATAAGACAATTAAAAACCTCAATTACATTTGAAAGTGTTGCCAAGGAATATAGCCTTTAATTTTTTTCTGTATATAGTGTTAAAGCTTGCGCCATATGCCCGGCGACTGATCACCTCGATGCGTCATGCTTTAAACATGAATCATTACCCTACTACCGAATGGTCACGATTCGAATCCAAAGTCAGCACACTTTCATTATGCACATCGTTTATTATTACGTTGTGCATGTTTCGAAGTGGTTATTCCTTCGAAGTGATTACGACACCATGTCGACTACCGTCGTCATGTGTCATCTCTGTTGATTTCTTAATTGTTATATGGAATGTGTCCTTGGTACATTGTTTTGTTTAGTAATTTGTCACCATAATTTTAAAATATTACAAATATCTACACTGAAGTTTACCGCTTTAACTGCTGCGCTAAGAGTACGTTTACGGTTACGTAAAACTACACGAACTTTTCCTAAGTGACTAATTTTTTACTCTAGGTGTTTGTCAAAGTTTCTTCTTATGTCGAGAAGTCTGATACGCTTATGGCGGTAGCCCTTGAGCATTGTAACTTTTAAAGAGATTCAGGCTAAGTGACTCGGCCACCTCGTAAACCGGCTAAGCTGTGGATGCCTCTTCAAGGCGAACTTGCTGTCATTAGCCGGATGCACATTTTGCAATGACTTTTCATGTACATTTAAATTATGCACTACTTTTACTGATTATTAAATCAAAGAAGGTCATTGTTGAATGCTCGAAACTAGCTATGCTAGAAAACAGCGGAAACGTACTGTAATATTTAGTTGTACGTTGTACATATAGGTCAATTTCAAAATTCTTAGGTTCATAGGTATTTAAAGGGTTTAGGTTAAAGGGTTAACTGTAAGTTACAAAGTCTGATGTTATTCCTTTTTTGTAGACAACCACCCGGAATGGAGGTCATCAGAATGCACCGGTATCGCCATCTGGCGGCGCAAGTGTCGGTCTGGGGGCGGACGTCAACGGATCCAGACCCACCTTTAAGCCTGTCACCGTGCTCGAAGACCTGCAAGCCGTGCGTTGCGCAGAATTCCATCCAAATGGCAAATTGTATGCCGTGGGTTCTAATACCAAAACCCTTAGGATATGCACCTACCCCAAAATCGATGATATCAAGTAAGTTTTTCTTTTTATATATTTAGATATAGCGTGTATTAATTCAGATATGTTCCAATAGATGTTATTAAATTGTGGACTATACTATTATTAGCCCTTAGATTAATGAACTGTTTGTGATTCAGTCTTCGATTACGATCACTGATAATATGTGACGCAAAGGCAATAACTAAGGACTCTGCTAAGTCAATGACCGAAGTAAATTTGTTTATGTATGAACTGTTTGTTATTCCATTTGCAGCACCCGTTTTGCATTGAAATTTATTATTCAGTTTTTCTCTTATTGCAAAATTAATTTAACTTTTTTTTTTAAAGAGACCAATCATAAAATTGTCACGTATGCATTAAAGGGAATAGAAGTTTAAAAAGAAAAAATAAACAATTTGGTTATTATAATTTAACTTGATTAACAAAATATTTTTATTAAAATTATGCCCAGAATAGACGAAGTTTGAAAAGTATAGATACAAGAACAGATCGTAACACGTATATCAGAGCCAAAGATAGAAAGCCATGCATGTTTCTAGTGTTTGCTACGTAGTATGGTGGCCTTGTTTACAGACGGTACACCGCTTTAGAAGCTATTTGTAATGATTACTCTTTGAATCGCTGGTGACGTCTCCTAGTTCTAATTATTCTAACTAGAAACCATAGCAGTGTTCTTTGTCGGTGAAATATAAAATAAAAATACGATGTATTCTTTGTTGAACCATTTGAATTTGTTATACGACTTTGTATTGTTATGATTATAAATTATTTTCTAATTTTGGTAAGACTATTGAATACTCATTATTGTTCATTGCTTGGATACATTTAAAATTAATATGGTATACATTACGTTTATAACGATGTTTTGTTTTTTACATCGAATTATAGCATCGATCAGAAAACAATCGAAACAATTTGTTTCAAAGGAATGTTGGGGAGAAACCCGTCACTTTATTGTCTTAAGTCATGTGGATAATGAAATACAAATTGTGCGCAGTCCTGAGTTTAATTATGTTTATGTATCTTACCCGAGGGTGAAAGTCCGCGGTGCAAAATTTCTCAGCAACGACGCTATTCTTGAGCGTATGTAGACTGACTGTACTTTTGTTGAGGATTAGGTCCAGGCTTAAAAGTTTATACATTTGTATATTCTACCTCTTTAATTAAATTCAACTGCTATTTGTGAAGTCAAATTCAGTATAATGATGCCATAACATGTATTAAAATATGATGACTTACTTATTTTTTTCTTAATTCTAACTGTACAATGTTATTTTTTGTCTTAGGGATATCAGTGCACCAACAGCTCCGACAGTTCTACTGAAACGCACAAAACACCATAAGGGTAGCATCTACTGCCTCGCATGGAGCCCTGCCGGCGATCTGCTGGCTACTGGCTCCAACGACAAGACTGTCAAGTTGATGAGATTCAACAGCCACACCTGTAATCTGGAAGGACAAGAGGTATGATAATACATACGTCATCTGTGTTTAAAACTGCTCTCGGAGATCGCCAGCAACAAAGGTTCCTGTACAAACGATTTACCACTAGTTTAGAGATGTCGAATAAAGCCAGTATAATAGTATATATGGTAATAGAAAAACTTTAATTCAAAACTAAATCTTATTCTATTCCTACGTATTTCTTTTGATGAGATACGCATAGAGATGACCTTTACTTTTATGAATGCAAAAATATCTGCTGAAGTAATGTATATTTCCTTGAAATATGATGTAACACGATAACATAGGAAGCTTTTGTTGTCATAGTCGCGCTCATCTTTCCTTTCATTAGAGTGACAGGCTGACAGATCACTTAGCTTCGTGAAGACTAAGGTCGATAAACGATAACAATACCTATTTAGGGTCAGCATACTTTCTATGGTTTTTTCCCATATATATAACAAATAGGAAGAAACTATCATTGCAAACTTGGGCTTTAAACTTAAGTAAAATGTTTCTACATTACTTCGTTTCTGCTACTTTGTATATCTTTAGCAACTCAATACCTTACGTCATTATCTCAATAATTAGCTGTTATTACATACAGTAACCACGTAAATGGTTTTCATTAAGAGTAGCGTAGGCAGATTTGAAAGGCGGTCTGTTAAAGCTAAGAATAACAGATCTCGAGCTGTCTAATGCGGAATCATATTCATTTATGCTTATAAGGAAGCAAATGTAAATCGTTGTAAGATGTCGGAATGCTATTCAGTTAAAATGAAACAAGTTAACGGTTAGGTAACGTAAAGATGTGCGATATGCTTATGTTGAAAAATCCTTATGCACGTAATATGCATAAACATTTCTAAGATATATTCCAGACTTACAAGAAAATTTATCTAAAGAAAACTTTTTGGATAATTGAATACAAAATGTCACATAATTATATTCAAAGGATATAAAGTTAAAATAAACGCTTTGTCTGTTGTAAAACATTTGCAATTCAAAATTTATATCTTTATATTTCGTTAAACTTTACTGTTTTATTTGCTAACTGTATTTGGTTTGTCGCGGTCGTAATATACCCGCATTGCATTAATTACCTTTGTATTTTATTTGTTCATTAAACTAGGTGTTGCCATACTTTTATATTTGATGAGGCTACCGTTAAATAACACATACCTGATGGTAATTAGACAAGATAAATAAATAAATCTGCAATAAGTTTTCTACAACCACCATCAGTGTCCACTGTTTAAAATATTTGCAACACAAATATGATTTATGTTTAAATTTTCAAGAAATAACAGAAATATACAAAATGCTTTTGTAAAAGTTCACATACCGTTTTTATATATCAAAAAGATTCAGATGTTTTCCAAAATGCATTAAAACAGCCCGAGAATTACGAATCAGATGTACAGACGATTAAAGTTGTCTGTACCCTCTTCTCTGCTGGGCTTATTATAAATATCGTTAAGACAATAAATTGCTAGTATAGAGTTAAAATAACGATTTTTATAATATACTAAAACAAACATTCTGTATCTAGCTTGCCGCGACTTACAAAGAGAAGCTGTTTTTTGTTTAAAATTATTTTGTTATAATGAAAATAGGTCAATTCGGTCGTATAATATGATTTCGATATTTTGTCTAGTAAATCTTTTGAGTGCGTAGTTATATTGTGAAATTAATCGTTATCTTATCGTAGGCGACATAATTGCGTCTAGGACTGAGATAGTGATACCTGGAAATAGTTAATTTATAAAGATTGCGTCATGAAATCATTATAGAATGATTTTTATGATGTCAGCTAATATATTATTACATTATCCTATTAAAAACTTGTATCAAGATTAATAGGACACATTATCTTTACATTGCATTGTTTAAAACAACTCCATATTACATGAGATAGATGTTTTAAACTACATTACGCATTGTCATTGTAAGTAAGTTGTATAAAAAGTACATTGTTGCGGTACAATAGCGGTGCACTCATTGAACAGTGCTCGTGTATGCCACCTGCCACAAACGGTGGTCGACAGACCGACCGTTATAAATATCTAAAGCGAGGTAAACAAGCGTCTTAGGGCGTGTGTACACCTGAAACTAAACTATCTAACAATTGTTTAGTCTCCCTTTGATTCCTATGATCTTATATGGAGGTGCGCACACTACTCGATTTTTAATTGCACAACTAAACAGTTGAATTTGTTGCGTAACAATCGACAATAGCACAACAGATATGCGATTGTTTAATCGAAGGTGTGCGCCCGCCTTACTCGTCAGTTCCACAGACATGTTGATACCCTACGCGCTGTCGCCTTGCCTGAGTTATTTCTCGAGAGCGCATTGCCAACTAATTACTCAAAGTTGCACGTAGACCTGTTCTTTGAAACGATTTCCCTTCGCCAGGGGAATTCGCGTGCATTACAATTACCTTCGTAGTTATGCTATTACTTATTGGTTTATTACAAACTAGCTGTCGCACGTGACTCCGTACTCGAGCAATAAAACAAATGGTTAAAAAGCCTACTATGCTCTACATTTGTGAGAAATTTAATGGATATCCGTTTGGCCGTTTAACTTTTGCATTTATATTAGTAATAATAGTAATTAGAAATGTGGTAATATTGTTCGCTTGGGAAAATTTCGATTTATTTCATTAAAGTAAATGTGAGTGTGGGCGAAAAAGATAAGATAATAAGTCATCCTGCTTCGAAACCGTGAACATTGTTATGGTTTCTGAACAAGAATACGTCTCACTAATTGTTTTAAGTTGCACTCTATTTACTTAGATCATTTTTAGAAATACGTTGTGCATATATTATAACTAATTGGGTCGTTGAGAACTGTAGTTACAAATAGTAAAAATATCATTGTATTGAAAAAAGGCAACCATATTTATAGAGACGAAAACTGGAAGTTGAAAATAACATTTTTGTAATCACTTTGGAATATTTTTTATAAATTACTAAGACGATTAAAAAAACATACTTTTGTTTGTGTCAGAATTTTATTCTGCTAATATCTTTGATGTTTATCACGCTTAGCATGATTTGTTTTGTCGTGTTTTGACTGGAAACTAATTTGAGGTTAAGTGTTAATTAATGAAATCAGACGGCAAAGAAGTTTCGATATTTTGTTGATATTTCGATATCTACTAAAACAGGAACAATTCAATGAAGTACAAAACTGACAATCTATAAATTTAGTCAGTAACCCACAAAGTGAACGTAAGAGGATTCCAGGGAACGTAGAGATCTACGACTTTGTGAGAGTTCAGGGGTTTCTTTCTTGGTAAATCGTTTATATTAGGGCAATTTATATATTTAGTTGATCGAAATGGTATTGTATTGGAAAAAGTTTTATAACTAAGGTCTTTCAATGTTATACCGTTGTCAAGGTTATTATACTATTTTAAGAGCGCATCATCTATTTAAATATCGGTGTAATGGTAAAATACTTTATAAGGTCAATTGCCTCAATGCAGTCATGATTAAACTATCGTAAAACTGTTTAGTCTCGCTTTCCATAGAGACCATAAATTGCTGCCAACATCAAAAAAGCGAGGTTGTCATCATGTCATGTCATTTTGACATTTGTAATTCATAATTTGACAAATGTAAACAATAAAATAAAAATTTCATAATTTCATGCGGATGACGCAGCACGGGAACAGCTAGTTAATTATAAAATGTTTATCTTTCCGAATGGCTATAACATTATATGTTCGTTCTAGTCATGTGAGTTTTAACATTGTTTTTTACATTTCTTTTTGTTAGGTGGAACTTACCATGCATGATGGTACAGTCCGAGATGTATGCTTCATAGAGGACACCTCGAATAAAACGAGTCTTTTGGTCAGCGGCGGCGCTGGCGACTGCAAGATTTATGTTACCGATTGCGCCACAGGAAAGACATTCCAAGTAAGTTATAATACACTGAATTGCAATTTTGTAGAGGTAAAACGATGATTTTTGTTACATATTTAGAGGTATGAGATTTGGTATATTTAGTTTCCATTTAAGAGAAATAGTGAAAATTCAAATGTTATTTATAAAAATTTAATTTACCAACACTGTGATAACAAATCTAGAATTTGATGAATTTGTTATAATTGAAAACAATGTTCCAAAAATGGAACATGACAGAAAATTTACTATGCTTCTATATAAGCAGACGACGTGTCACACCAATTTCCGATTTTTCTTTTCCATGACGTAATAATTTAAAGACAAGTCACTCGAGACTTGGCTATATATTTGGCGATCCAAATTGCTTTTTAAGTGCAAGGGACGATTTTTATCTCGACCCTTTTTACGTTACCTTAAAGTGAGTTAACTTACGTTTTATTTTAGCCATTAACGAAGATAATTTCCTTTGAGCCAAGGGTCGACATTTCGAGTACTTTACGTTCATCGACTTCGTATATTTTTTTATTACTGAAAATTATTTAATTAATTATTATGATTAGTGTATTTAAACTAAATTTTTATACAAGATAAAAAGTCAAAAAAGACAGAACACGACTAAAAAATGACTTTATAACATATAAGTGTGGGCGCAAATTGGAAGCGGGTCGATATACAACTCAAGGATTTTTAGTATCATTGTTTTTATTAGTTTCAATTTTGGCATCCGCAAATCTGCTCTTACTCTTTTCTTACAACATTTAGCAAATAACATTATGTTTTAGTTATAAAGGTCAAGGAAAAGAAAATGGCTCTATCGACCAAAGTACAGTTTTATATTTCAATCTTTTACTCCTTTGAAGCAAAAGATAGTTAATATCAACGTTGTCCATTGTTCTTTGTCATACAAAGATAGTCATAAAAATGGAAATCTGAATAAACGGACACTTTGTACAGTCTAGATTGGATCTAAATCTATTTCCGGGCTATTTCTTTATAATATCTTGTTTCATGTCAAAGTTCACATCTTTCGTCGTTTTTACAATATTAAATGTATTACAGATTGAGATAAATAGGTCTTATTTGTATTTTTTGTATCTTGCAAATGACTTAGGTGTAACTTGATATAATAAAAGTATGTCACTATTGGTGGTTGATATTATAGAGTACTAGCTTTCGTCCGTGACTACGTCCGCGTGGTGTTAAAAAAATGAAAAGTAAGTAGACTATGTGTTCTGCCAGACTATCTTCTACATGTATGCCAAATTTCATCGAGATCCGTTCAGTAGCTTAGGCTACAGACTTTAACAACTATATATCCATCTAAACATTCGCATTTATAATATTAGTAATATAAAGTAATTTATTTTCAACTGTTTTGTTCTGAGTATTTAAGATCCTGTATGTGTAATTGTGTGGTAAAGGTATGTCTTCTTTTGCAGGCTCTGAGTGGACATTCCGGCCACGTTCTTTCACTGTACAATTGGGGTGGTGCGATGTTTGTATCCGGTAGCCAGGACAAGTCTGTGCGCTTTTGGGATTTGCGTACTGGTGGATGCGTTAACATCATCGCACCGCCAACTGGGCTTGCCAGTAAGGTAAGAATATGTGGTTTTAATGATTTTTATGTATTAATGTACTTTTGTAAAATGATTTAGAATGCGTGGGAACAACCTTAGAATATCCGTAAAGTAGAATGTCAATTTATGGTTTCCTCTTGTACCAGTGATAAACTAGCGACTTGATATTTATTGATTTTTTTGTTTATGCAATGTCTAAGTTTCAAAATTAATAATTAAATAAACACCTCATTTCCCAAGTCACTACTTAAAATAAACTACTTTATTGAACTTTATTAACTTTCTCGCAAATCCAACTGATTAGAGATTTAAGTATTTTTTTTGTAATCGGATCAACACTTTACCTACAAATGTCAAATGGTTATTGTCCTAAACGACCTACTAAACGAAGATGTAGGCTCACAGCTAACTACGAGCCGTCATAAGATTACAATCCCTAGTAATACATAGATGATGTCTCGGGGTTCAATATTGTTCAGGGTTCAATCTTGTTCAGGGTTCAATCTTATTCAGGGTTCAACCTTGTTCACGGTTCAATCTGATTCAGGTCTCAATCTTGTTCTGGGTTCAATCTAATGCAGGATTCAATCTAATTCAGAGAACAATCTTTTAGGGTTCAATCTAATTCAGAGTTCAAACAATCTTGTACAGGGTTCTGCGGTGGCATCACTAGCTGTAGACCCTAGTGGTCGTCTGCTTGTGTGCGGTCACGATGATGGTTCGTGCGCACTGCATGATGTCCGCGGCTCCAGAGCACTTCAACGCTTCTCTCCGCACTCTGGTGACGTCAGAAGTGTTCGTCTCTCGCCTGGCGCTTATTACTTACTTACTGCCGGGTATGATGGTCGAGTTGTGCTCACAGATCTACAAGGTACGTATTCTACTAGCTTTTTACCGCGATTCCGTCCGTGTGGAATAAAAAAACAAAAGTGAGTAGCCTACGTATTGTTCCAGATTATCCTCTACATTTATGCCAAATTTCACCGAGATCTGTTCAGCCGTTAACGCTACAAACTAAAAAACATCCATCCATCCATCCATCTATCTGAACTTTCGCATTTATAATATTAATAAGATAAATCGATTTTAACCTCCTTTTTTGGGGTTCAGAATATTCATAGATATCGACAGACCCCAAGTTGGAGAATAAATAATTAACTTGATTCATATCCAACGTTATTTTCAACGTTAATATCTATGCGATAATTTTTTTCTTTCATTTGTTATCTTCATATATCTTTATTTACTTATTTAATACGAAATATATTTTACAAGATTTGTATAAAAATTAAAATAAAGTAATAACTGTAATTATAATAATTAGTTTTTTTTTATAATTACGGTTATAACTTTATTTTTATGAAAATCATGTTAAATATGTTATATATGTCGGTTGAGCTATCACGATATCAGAATGGCTACTAGTCGAGATGACATGTGGCGGCCATGGGACAGTCGGATTGCAGGGACACATTCACAATGCTCCTCAGTCAGGATATCATCCATCTACCAACCTCATATCGTTCAAACAATGTTCTCACAATGATCCCTATTTTCAGAATCATCTAAGTTCTTTTAAAAGTCGCTCGGCGGCGCTCGTGTTCTAATTGTGACTTAAATTTAAATTGATTTCTTCTTCTTATTGCGACATATATTAAATCAGTAACTAAAGATATATGAAGATATACAAGGTAATACGATTTTGTAAGTTTTTTTTTTTAATTTTAAATACTGATTTTTTTGTTATTCAGGTGATCTAACGTGCGCGATGCCAAGTGTACCAGTCGCTCGACATCCTGATAAGGTGATATCAGCTAGATGGCATCCGGATGACTTCTCATTCCTGTCCACGTCAGCGGACAGGACCGCCGTACTTTGGACCATACCACCAGTGTAAGAGCACGCACTTAGAGCTCTATATAATTTGGTCCTTATTCCAATTTAACTTGATGTTACTTTAAGACACTTTAATTATAATCTCATAAATTACTGATAAATGTATTGATATCTCAAAATATATAACTATGATAAATAAATCCTTAATATAGAGACGAGTAGAGGACTTAAGGCCTCCGAAGTTTTTTGACTTGCATGTTTTAAAAAAATAATTTTTTTTTAACTAATTCGATGTATGAAATGTTTGGCTATGTTGAATTTTAAACATAATAAAATCTTCATAACATATCCCAATTTTAACGAAATTTATACACACAAGGTGTGTTACTAATGTTACAAATCCAAAAGTTTGGATAGATATATATTAAAGTTTGTAGCCTAAACTATTTTATTTCAATGAAATTTGACATATATTTATATAGTCTGGAACACACAGGCTACTTGCTTTAATTTTTTTAATGCCAAGCTGACGAATTTATACAAGTAATTTTAAATCATTTTGGTTAGTTTTCATCAATCATTTGGTTGTATTTATTTCATTTAACATTTTTAAATCACGTCTAGATTTTTTTTTTATAACATAAGGTGGCAAACGAGCAAGTGGCCACCTGAGTTTATCTGACACACCTGAGAGATACCTTTGGTTTACCTTTAAAATATTTCTCGTATTATTTCCGAACTATTTAACAATTTACTTTTAATTATTTCCTTATTAATCATGTGAAAGTTTTAAGTTATAATTTTTTTCGAACAAAATATAATTGAGTGATATCACTTAGGGCCTGTCCCACCACTGGCTGATAGAGGCTCAGATAGCTTAAAAATGACATCACTGTTAGTTTGAGTGCTAAAATCGTACATCTCATATTTTTGACCTACTTCCCAAAAGAAGGAGGTACTCTATTCGTCGATATGTTTTTTTTTCTTTTTCATCATGTGTGTTACGGCAAAACTCCGCCGCTAGTGGACCGATTTTGATAACTCTTTTTTTATCCGAAAGATAATGCTTGCAGGTGGGTCCCATTTTTTTTGTTTGATTTTTGGAGTCAAAGACTACGACGTAGTTAAATAGTTTAGCTCAAAATCGCGCGACGAAATTTTGAGTCATTTTTGCTTTCTTTTATAGGTTTGATTGTTATCAGACTATTAACAATTTGGTGGGACAGGCCCTTAATAACTTAGTTAAGGCGTTCCCGCGTGCTTCATATAGTGGAAACACTTAAATATACTTATTTAGATTAAATAATATTTAACTCGAATCTTTGAATATGTAACTGACTTTTTTTGGAATATTTTTTAGAAAATAATTACGAAATGAAATCTTATAGTTCTAATTTGGCTAAAAGCACGAAAATCTTGTAAATATATATTTTTTAATTTGGATAAAATTTGTAAGACTTGAAGTTTTTAACTTTTCAGTTGTTACCTCCTGATATAATATCTGGGGGTTTTGAGTCAAGACTCTTTGTAATTTATTTTTATTCCAAACTTGTATTGATTGCAGTATATAAGTAACTTGCATGTTAAAAATAAATTATTCAGATAAAGTATGAATTAGGTAACCATTAGATAGGTTATTTTTATTGTACTTCATATTAAAAAAATATCGATGTTATGGATTTTATGGCTTGTAATTTTTATTGTTTAGAATCTAGACTTTATAATAAACACTATCGATATCGCTAATATTTTATATTAAAGTAAATTGCACTAAATAACTAAATTACTTTAAGCATAGTAAATACTTAAATTCTGAACAATTTAAATTATAAATCGGCAAAATCTTATAAAGCTTTACGTAATTTTTTCAAACTTAACGCTTAGTAATTTTTATATATATAAAATTTTACATTTTAATATACGTAATTGATATACTTGCTTAGTTTATTATGCCGCTTTTCAAACTGTTCTATAAAAATAAATAAATATACGCATATATATTGAAACATATATTTGTTGGTGGAAAAGACGGGGAATAGTAGTGTAGTTTAGTCACTCAGAGACAATAGTCACTAAGGGTGTTCGTTAATACATTGAAGTATAAAATACATACTCAGGGACTCACTTAGTGACTATACTGGGTGCGAAATTTAGAGTATTAATATTAATGTAATGATAGTAATAGCTGAGAAAAAAAAACAACTTGATACATGAAAATCTTTTTTTCGATAATATTGTCACAACTTTGAAATAGTCATAATACTAGTTAAATAAGATTACACGCAGTTAAATTTAAGTTAAATTTGTCTTTTATTATCGTAGGCTTTCACTGTTGGAAGATTATAAAAATGTATTCTCAGAGGTAAATAATAATCAGTGAAAACCCACTTTATGTTGATCAAAGTTTTTCTACCCCATTAAATACTGGCTTTAATGTTTTAATTTTTATATTCCATGTCTAATTTTTTTTGTTTATTAAACTTTTTTAAGGATAAGAATATTACTTAATAAGATATAGGTACATGTTAAATGCAATTAAGTGTAAGGCTTCGCACAAATATAACTTGGAAATACTTCGTTTTGTTAGCAATTAATATATAACTTAAAATCATTATATTTGTGCTAAGTGTTCGTATGCACTATGTTCTGCATGTATTAAATATTACATATTCTATGTATTTCCTTTTTGATTTATGTGTTTAAAATGTAAGCCAAGAATCGCTTGCGTACGTCGTTGGTATTAATCGAGATCTTAATTAAACCGAATTTCGTTAATATGTATTATTAAAGATTAAAATATTTATTATTGAAATCGTGCCTTATTTTTTCTACCCTTTCGTCAACTTAGCCCTAAAAATTAAGTGATTACGAAAATATCGAACTCTCTCCAAATTATACTTCATACTAATATTATAAATGCGAGAGCTTAGATGGATGGATGTTTATTAGAGTATGTAGCCTAAACGGCTTAACGGATTTCGATGAAATTTGACATAGATGTAGAGTATGTCTGGAAGAACACATAGGCTACTTTTGATTTTTTTAATTCCACACGGACCGAGTCGCGGGTAAAAGTTAGTTTGAAATAATCATAAGACGCAGTAAACAATGGTCTATAAGTAAAGTAAACTACCGGCCGTATGTTTGTACAGTTAGAACCTTAAAAGCTATAGTTTCAACATTTTTAAACGAAACTTAATAATAATCTACACAGCGCATGTGACAAGGAGAACGTTAGTTATGAGTGTGGAAGGGTACATCGGTAGAGGTAGACGTAGAAAGAGATGGATGGATTGTGTAAAAGGTGACATGATCAAAAAGGGAGTGATGACTGAGATGACGTACGATAGAGTTATGTGGAGGACAAAAACCTGTTGCGCCGACCCTACGGGAGTAGGATAAGGGGATGATGATGATGACAGCGCAGCTTATAAATGTGTCTGTACGAAAAAAGTTGTTTAGTGATACACGACTGGTTCCTTTTTATTATGTTCCTGTTTGCACTCACTGGTATCGTGTATAATTAGTTATTTGTACGAAGAGGCGTAGTTTGTCTCGAATGTATGAATGTAATGAACAAGGCATTTTTTTCTGAAGTGGCACACCGTAGATTTCCACTGTACATTAGCAAATATCTTACAATTTGTCGATGATGTTATGAGTACGTTAGCGCAACTGCCACGCAAAAAATCAAGATACACTGCTCTGATAGTTTTATTTCCTTTTCTAGAGGAAATTGCAATTTTATGTGTAACGTAGTAGAAACAAAGTGTAAAAACGAATTGGACGGATATTATAATTTTGACCACGACACGAGTAATTAGGACATTTTTTTAAAAATGAATCGCCTGTTATTTTTTATTCTGCAATATTTGCAGAAAATAAAAACAACAGGCGTCCTTTGACTACAGTTTCATTCAACAATACAGTGTAAAATGTAAGTTATTGGAATAGTAGTGTTAACCCACAAGCTTTAAAATGGAATATTTCCATACCATGCCACTATATTACACTGAACAATTGGCATCTATTGCATTCTTCCCATACTAAAGTACAACTTGAGGTTACAATTGTTTAAATTACATAAAAATTTCCTTTATTGTAACGTTGTGAAAAAACCTGGTTCATCGCATATTGAAAGATTATTTCATTCGGCCATTTTTCGTTATTCGTGAACATTACTATGAGTTTATGAAATGCTAAACGTACATTACATAATAACTGTATTTGACAATATCAATTTCAGTTATTATATAATATCCTAACATTTAACTAAGGAGCTATGGCAAAGTTTGTCGTGGACTATAGTAAGAAATGTTAAAATAAAATTTAATAATTTATTTTCATCCTAAAAAAACAAACCGATACAAAAAAACAACAAGACTTCAATAATTTACTTATATCCAACCTTTGTAATAATTTAATTACAATTTTAATAAAGAGGTACGATTTGTACTTTTGTATGTATTGAAATAACTCAAATTAAGTTATCACCAGTAACAATTTTTTTCTAACTTTCTTAGTTCCACGCGAACGATGTCGTGAGCAACAGCTAGTATGTAATTGTAGTGTAAAGTCAGTATCTTAAATGTAACCTTCTTTAGTATAAATTCAGAACCTGAATTTTAAAAGAATGAATACTTTATTTGAAATAAGACGTATGTCGTTAAAATGGCAAGTTATGTCATGTGTTATCACATTTACGACGTTGGTATAAATATTCGATAATAAAGAATAACGAATTGAAAGAAAAAGTCGTTTCGATAAGTGTTATTAAAACCCAATATTACGTGTTTTTATATAGTTTAAAGGTAAATTCAGTTATTGTTCTTTGAAGTTGACCATCTTTGTAAAAAAGATATTTATAAAGTTTGTTGTGTTATTCAAAAACTGAATATTCAATGCTCAAGGATGCGTTATTCTCAACAAAGGCATGTAAGTAGCTTTGAAATAATTTGTTAATGTAGATGAATTTTGTAAATATCTCCGTTTTTAGATAAAAATGTGTATAATGATATTACTTTACTGACTATGAGTATATCTTAAGAAAGTCGTGATAAATTAAGTTACACGTCAAATATCCAGATTGGAGAGGTCACGTATACATTTACTGTTCTTTGCTTTACGCTTGTCATGTGAACATGACCCGAGGGAGCCTTCGTTTGCGAAAGATTTATTCGATAGAACAGGAAAATATATCTCATTTGATTCAGGCAGAAACTTTTCTTGGCAATACCTATCCTAGGACTTTTTCTTTAGATTTAAATT